GTTGCTGTGAGCTGTAATGCCACGGCACTCTACCCAGGGGGACAGCTTGAGGCTCTGTCTCAAAAATAAATAAATAAATAAATAAATAAATAAAAGTACCAGAATTCTAACACATCCCAGGAGTTATGAAGACCCAAAATGTAACCTTTAATCCCTTAAGCCATTTACCTTATCCATTCCAAGCAATTGCTTCTCTGAAATAGCCTCAATAAATCTCAACTCCAAAAGGCTGAAAAACAATTTCTCCTCTGTGTCTCAGAAGATGCACCATAATATCTGGTGGTTGATATTTTCCATCTTTCTGGTGTTTATAATGATACTGATATTAAAGTAACAATTTGTCCTTATGAAAAATTAAACATAAGAGTATGGCAGCCAGTTCTCTAGAGTCCCGCCTGGGTCAATGTAGAGAGTAGCACAGTTCTGACTAGTCAAAGGCATAAGCATGTCAGAGGTCATACAAGTTCTATCTCTTTTCTTGGTACAGGTTAAAAGTTTCCATTTTCAGGAGGTTCTTCTACCAGGGATTTCTCCAGGAATCACATGTTCTTAGCAAGTATATCCCAAGCACAGTTTTAATGCCATGAATCAGACTTCCCTAAGACTTATTTACCAAGGAGCCACTATATTTCTTCCTTATCTAAGATTAGATACTCAGTGTCAATGTATATTTCAGAAAATTAGATCAAATGCACTTTTGGTTGGGCTTCTATCTGAATAGGCACAGTAAGAAATGTTATAATCACTTTGTAAAAGATTTTCATTTTATTTAAATTCATATTTAAACTCCCCAATTAGTCAATAATTTGTATTTTATGTTTTGTTACAAGTTGCATTAGCTCCAAAGAAAAGGTAGAGGGAAAAAAGATGTTTGTAAGACACAGTGGCTCACTCCTATGATCCTAGCACCTTGGGAGGCCAAGGTGGGAGGATTGCTTGAGGTCAGGAGTTCAAGACCAGCCTAAGCAAGAGTGAGACCCTTTCTGCACCAAAAATGGAAAAAAATAGCCAGGTATGGTAGCACACACCTGTAGTTCCAGCTACACAGGAGGCTGAGGCAGGAGAATAACTGAAGCCCAGGAGTTTGAAGTTGTAGTAAGCTATGACAATGCCACTATACTCTAGCCAGGGTGACAGAATAAGGCTCCATGTAAAAAAAAAAGAAAAGAAAAGTAAAAGAGGAAGTATTTGTGAGCTAAGGGGCAAAAAGTTCAGAAGACTCTTCTCTTTCTAAAGATATCTGCCTATCATGGACTTAAAAACTGCAAAGTAATGCAGGTCAAAAATGTTGAGTCAGTTATTGCAAATAACCAATTTAACTGGAAAATTCTCCTAGATTTTTAGTCATAATTCCTACTTAAAGATGTAAAACATAAATTAAAATATAATTAAAATATAATGATCACATCCAAGCATCCCTGTAACAAACCAAGAATTCAGAATTTATAAGACTGAAAAATGACTGTGGAAGCTTACTGAGAAATCAAGCAGACTCATGCAAACACAAATAGCCCATTATACATCAGGACCAAGAGAACAAAGGAAAACTCCATGATGGGAAAACAGATAAAGTAAAGAGAACTAGCCTGTTATACATCATACATAGTTCTTTCATTAGCAGCATACCAGAAATCTCTCACTTTAGGGCATTTTTTTGTCTCTAAATGAATCCCTGGTTTTATTGTATTAAGAAACAAAAGAGGTGGACCAGACACTGCATGAAGTAGAGAAGTGGTATAAAGAATCTATTAAATGTTGGTTATGGCACTGGCCACATGCACCGACAGTGGTGGGTTCAAACCCGGCCTGGGCCTGCTAAACAACAATGACAACTGCAACAAAGAAAATATAGACAAGCTTTATGGTGGGCACCTGTAGTCCCAGCTACTTGGGAGGCTGAGGCAAGAGAATCACTTAAGCCCAAGAGTTGGAGGTTGTTATAAGTTGTGATACCACGGCACTCTACTAAGGGTGACATAGTGAGACTGTCTCAAAAAAAAAAGAATCTACTAAATGTGGTAGTGGAAAACATTAAGAAATGGGAAGGCTCGGTGCTTGTGGCTCAAGCGGCTAAGGCGCCAGCCACATACACCTAAGGTGGCGGGTTCGAATCCCTAGCTCGGGCCCGCCAAACAACAATGATGGCTGCAACCAAAAAAAATGGCCAGGCGTTGCAGCGGGCGCCTGTAGTCCCAGCTACTTGGGAGGCTGAGGCAGGAGACTCGCTTGAGCCCAGGAGTTGGAGGTTGCTGTGAGCGTGATGCCATGGCACT